GTAGACCTCTCTCAGGTTTATTCATTTTGTGATGATATCTTTAATTCTCTAATTTTGGTGAATATTTTTGTCATTTTTGGTAAAAAGTGATATTTTCGACTTGTTAAAAACTAAAAGTTTAATTGCTTTGATATTACATATATAGATACTACATGTAGACCTTTCTCAGATTTGTTCATTCCGTGATGATATCTTAAATTCTCTAATTTTGGTGAATATTTTTGTCATTTTTGGTAGAAAGTGATATTTTCGACTTTTTGTTAAAAACTGTAAGTCCGATTGCTTTGATACTATACATATTGTTCATTTTCTAATGATGTCTTCAGTTCTTTAATTGAAATGTGCATTGCTAACAGCGGAGCTATCTCAGCCGATAGGCTGCTTGTTTCTGATGTTACATGGTGAATTCCTAAATGTAATGAATCATGGATAATATTGCAGGACCTGGAGTGGCTGGTTATTTGACACAGGGTACAGCTAGCAGCATGCCTGATGCACCGCCTCCTATGGACACGAGCCATGATGAAATTCGTGAATAGTTCAAAGTTCAAGTTGGGTATGAATTGCGTCCAGAAGTCAATGTCCAGACGTATCTATGTACGGTTGAGGTGTAGAGGTTACTCGCAAGAATCTGTTTTAAGCTATGTTTAATGCTCCTAGAAGTTCTACCACTGAACTCTGCCAAATAAGTCATATCTGCATCATGGTTGTTATTAGTAACACCTAATTTATTTAGCTGATCTGAATGCAGTTAGCTCCTTAAATTTCAACAGTTTGAGGGTGTCACATTAACTTTGGTGAATGTCGTCAAAGTATCTAGTTATGAACCTCTGCCGATGAAAATACATCTGTTTACAGTAGCACTGTAGTATATCAGATAATTGGAATAAGTAAAGGAAGAAATAATTACTGCTGAGTCGTAGTTCAGCAGAAAGCATGACGAAATGTTTGATTATTTTCACTGACAAATATAGGAATTTGGAGATCAAATACATGATCAAGTTGCAATGACTAAGACATTTTAAACATCTGTGAACCACATATGGGAAACTGTAGTAGCTGTGTGATAATAAGTGGAGATGCTGTGGAAATTTATTCGAAAAGCAAATTTGTTGAATATTTGTACATAATATATTTTATTCAGGGAATAAATTTAACTGCCCTTTCATTCTCACATGAAAAATACCCCAGCATTCTCCCTCTTTTTTTTTTAATTGTTCAACCCCTATTAATACCGGTATGTTCATGGTCATTCATTCAATTAGTGTAACTTAGTTAAGAAATGTAAACTGCGTGAACTTTTCAAAGTTTGCATGATGTCATATCTGTTGTATTTCTATCTGAACAACATTTCTGTGAAACCAAAGACAGTATTTCAATATTTAAAATGTCAACGTCGTCATACCAATTCATATTGATGCGAGTCCCATGCAACATATCCTGTGCATTGCTTGTTTGCATGAAATTGTGAAGTGCATGACAACTATGGCACATTAAGTTTTTATGTAAACAATATTTTATGAATATGTACTTGAGGAAAATAATTTGAATGTCATGAATTTATGTATTATTCGCATCAGCAATATCTGGAGAAGGGCGCATGATAAGGTTAAAGTGACAATAGCTGTGACTATCAATCTTATTTCCCCTGATTTTTACTTTTTATAAACTTTTCATGTGTTGATAGTGTCAATTTGTAAGGGTAATCACTGACATGTGGACTCTGAAATCATAGCATATATACCAAGGTTGTAAGTGAAAAAAAAATGGCCTGCGTCCTAGTCTCCAGAGGGCGCCATCTATTGAAATCCAGTTTTGTGTCAAGCTAACATCATGAAAACTTTATCAGGGCCTGGGAAAAATGTCAAATACATCACTGTCTTGTGAAACATTTATATTTGGTCATCTTTATGTGGTTATATAAGAATAAAAATGTTCAAAATCACAGCTATCGTGAATTTTAAATTGTGCTGCAGTGCATTTAGATGGTAGATTCAATTCATTCATAGTTTTTTCTGGAAAAGTTTTGTGTGCTAAAATAAGCAATATTTTTATTTTTACAAATTAAACATCATCCCTCAGAAACTGACAATAATGCCCTGTGTTTTCAGCGTTCACAATGATCTGCAAATTGCGAAAAGTTTTAATTTAACAATTACAGTAACTTCTTGCATTCAACAGCGCCTTCTATGTAATAGCACAGTAACTTTCTATTTCACATGAAGGTGAGTATCAAATTGGAACAGTTTTAAACTAGATTCTTAAGAAAAACCTGCATCAACTAAAATTTCTTTCCACCTTTTCCCATGTTTATGTTGTTGTGTATAAATCAATAAACAGAATGTAAATTGTATATAGAAATCATGCACATTCAAAATAACCTGCCCCCCCCCCCCTGTAAAATATATGTTTGGTATCTTGATGATAAATGAAATTCTTACAGGGGTAGCATTTTCATCTTTAGTTTTCTCGTATTCTCATTCTATATAAATTTAAAAAGTACTTGTTTATTAGCTGTATATGGGTAGATAAAAATGATATTTTATTAGAGCAATTATAAAAAGTTGGTAACTTGACTGAAATTTATGGTGGGTATACAGGAAGTGGTTTGTTTGTTTGATGTATCTGTACTCTACCGATAATATGGCATTAAAATGCTACATTCTATCAAATATGTAAAGCATCTTTTTTTCTTTTTTAACTTGTGTTTACAATGAATGTGTAACCTACTGAGCTCATTTTGGTTTTGTGTGTAATTCTTGTTAAAAGTTGGAAACATTGATGTTAATTACGAGAACACATATTATTATACATCGAACGCAGAAAACAAAAGAAATTACCCTCCCTAAACACTGTACAAACAGACCCAAATAACTTCCTCATTTGGAAATTAACATCCGACACTGCAACAATGTAACAGTGGCTGATTTGTTAGCACTGTTATTAGTAAAAGCAAAATTCGCGACTTATTGAGGGTTGCGACTTACCTGGGGAGTCTCTGAATAAGATATGGTACACAAGCTGAAGTAAAAAAATGCGTTATTTGACGCGTATTGTGCTAGATGTAACTTAGAATATAGTAATAAAATGTGAATCTCATGAATTCATGTTACCTCAACTTAGAAACAGCATGATTTTAGTATGTATATAGGGTATCTATTTTAAGTTTCTGCACTTGAAAAGGGGGTATAATTTCACAAAAATAAGTACGTGTTTAGAGGCTTTTTTCAAAAGCTATACTTCAGCATGGGTACCAGGTCTGACTTTGACTTTGAATATCGCTTTTAATTGTCCCAAAAATCAACATTTTGAAATATCATTAACAGTTTCTGGGGCATGCCTTGACCAATTTCATTCTAACTTTAATCTTTATCCCTGTTTCATGCACATTTGTAGTTTATATGCTAAATACTATCCCAATATTTAAACATAATCTTACTACGCTTTTTATTGTTTGACAAAGTCACTAAAAACATGACGGGGACTATGTCATTGATTGTTTACATGTAATTCTGTTGATACTAAACCAGCCAATTATTCATTCTCAATTACTAACTATGCTTTTGGTCCATATTACTTTACTTTTGGCATAACATTTCTGTGTCTCACTAAATTATTACTAAACACAGAAAAAGATGTATACACTCACTCTACTGCCTTTGTGAACAGTATTCTAGTAATGACCACATATTATTATGCATCTGACACTGAAAACAATAGAAACTATTCATCTTTTAAATGCCGTGCGGACATGTTTCTTTTTTATGAAATGTGTGTAAACTTACATTCAAACATTTTTTTGTATACATCAAACATTAAAGCGCCATGGCATGACGAGAATCTGTTACTGAACACACCATACGCAAAGTGCAAGACTTTTTTCTTTGCCATTTTGGGCTGTTATTTCATTAAATTATTTTACAAACGGGGAAAGATTTATAATAACAAGCTCATCACGAGAATATCCAAAGTATGCATTACAGGACGGTTGATACCATCACTCGTAAAAACCTCATATTAACAAATTTCAAGGTATCATTGAGATTGATGCGATCCTGTACTGCCTGGCTGCATACTTTACAGTATTTCTGTAAAAACCGTATATCATGTAGCAGTTTGGAAAGAATCACAGGTCTCAAAACTGAGAGGTTCACCCATGGTGCATGTATACCAAGGAGATGTAAGCGACCGAAAATCTGTAATATGACAAGCTCCACTCATCAAAGTCATTGGCCATCAGGTAATCTTAGACAAATATTACTACAGCATACATGTATGTACTACTATATTCACTTATATTTAAGCTTTAGAAGATGTATAGGTTGTTATAGTTCCATGCTTAATAGAAACTTTTAGAGAATGTCTGAACCACAGATTAAGTTTTAACTAGTTATTTTTAATAAATTGAGAAGAAAATTTTTTTTCTGCGACCTCATGAAATCCAAGATGGTGTTAACTGTCAAGTGTTACATTGTTTGTGTATTGACATCTAAGATTTGTTTATCATTAAATTGTTCAAATACTGATGAACAAATCCAAGTCATTTTGTAACGTATATTTCTGAAAAGGGTTCAGCTCACGAGTTTGTTGTCATTTTGTAGATGGTTTGGGAAAATAAAAAACAGTTACCTTGGCTACAATCAATAGTTCGTATACTGCTGTCTATTGCGAAATAACTCAAACTAAAGTGACTTACACTTATACTACAAGAACATTTGTCATGACAAGAGTTTTCACTAAATATTTATTTTAATACTGGTAATTGGTTACAATAATTGATTCCATAGCGGACCCCCCCCCCTCTTCCAATACAAAGAAACCACTTCATTGAAAGTGATATTTTCCTTGAATTTTGAAACATTATTGAAATAAAGCATTGGTTCCATCTTACAGTTACCCTATAAATAAAAAAATACAGGTAAAATTTGTACAGATTTATAAATCCACATTTTGTAAATTGTTTAAATAAATTAACTTAATTCAGGACGGAGAATTATGACTGCTCCACTCATTCCATGAACAGTCTAAAACAATTGCAAGTTTATGATAACAATGTAAACAGCAAAGTATCTCAGTTTTGAAAACACTTTTTAATATAAACCCATATTACAATAATTTTATTATGAACAATCCTCATTAGATGTCTATATATAATGCAAAATTCTGTGTCATGCCTCTCCCTCTTAATTAAATATGCAAATGTTTACCAGTCAAAGTACCTGCAACCCACTTCCCCCTCCACATTGTCTTGCCAGTTTACAAGTTGTATATATTTCAAATACTGATAGAAAATATAAATTTATGAAATATCTAGCAGATAAAGTAACAAATTTAATGAGATGATGCATCAGTAAATGTTGCATGACAATACAGTCAGTTGTCTTGGTTATTCCAAATATTTAGCAGAATGATCCACATGTTCAAAATTGTTTAAATGGCCAGCCATACCTTACAATTAATGCAACATCTCATAAAACCATCGCTTGTAATCTTAAAGCGGGGGAGTCGTCACCTGCGCATGCGTGTCATTGTTTACAAACAAGCGTCTTGAGCCTTTGTGTTTTATTGTGGGTTGTTATCGTCGCTTGGGACTCAATTTCCATGCGTGCGCAGGTGACGACCCTCTCGCTTTAAGCAGTATAGAAACCAACTGAGAAGTGGCACACATATATCAAAATGGATGATTTAGAATTGATAAATACAATGATTCTACATGTAGGTTCAACAATTTGTTAAAATAAAATTCTATAATACATGTACAGTAAATCCACAATTGTGAAAATTTTATTTTTAAATATTGGCAGGTTGTATGAGCACCCAGAGAACTTGGCATCAGTAAAATCTCTTTAAACACATTACGACTACAGATCAAGGCAATTGCAATGGAATAAACATACTTCCTATCACCTTTCTACATAAGTGTGT